AGTGAGAGTGAGGGGAGTCATCAGCGTCGTTGAATGGACGAACAATTTGATAAAGGAGCGCATGCTAAGAGACAATTTATTTTATGGACCAATATAAATATTCATATTCTTTAAAAAATGCGATTTTGAAAAATACATTTTAGTTTGGAAAACGATAAATTGAGTAAGAGATCCCTGCTAAAAATGGTGAAAACAAATGAGTAGATAATCAAAGTCATACGAATAGAATTTCAACTCATATGCATAGAATTTCAACTTTTATGAATTGAATTTAACTCATATGAGCAGAATTTCTCTATTCGTTTTTCGCCGACTCATATGACTAGAGATTCCAACTCATATGACTAGAGATTGCAACTCACATGAGTTCAACGTTGAATCTACCGTGTCATCTCAGAAACTAGTCACCACATCAAAAAAATTATAAGAACAAAATGTTCTTATTTTTCAAATTTACACCACATGTCGGTGTCTTCTGGTCAAAAACACCACTCCTGAAAAATGAAAAAAATTGAATTCATATGAGTTGAACTTTTCTACTCTTATGAGTAGAATATTCTAGTGATATGAGTAGGATTTCTACTCATATAAGTAGGAAATTCTACTCATGTGAGTCGGCGAATTCTGAATAGCCTACTCATCATTTTTAGCAGGGAGACCACTTTAAATAGTCATATTTTTTAAAAAATGCGTTTTTGAAGAATTTTTAGTTTCGAAAACGATAAATTGAGTAAGAGATATACTATCACATCATGACTTAAACATTGCACTCTATTCTGAGAAGTTGGTACAAAATATTCTTAAACAGGCCAGGAAATTCATCACCGAAATATATATTCCTAATTTCCTACATTAAAATTGAATAGAAAGTACGGTGAACACACTGAAAATTTCCAAATTCAATTCGAGTGAAAAATTAGCAACTGAAATTTTACGAGTATTTATACTTTATAATCTAGGGTCATTTCGCGGAGAGTTTACAGGCATTAGGTATGTAATTTGGACTGAGTTTATCAGAAAGGAACCAACCCTCGATCAAGTTGAAACGGAGAAAAAGAGGTTTAAAGTTTTATTCCTCCGTAAGACTCGATGTAGAAAGTAAACTTTAAGCCAGCTTTTCATAAACTAATATTTTTTCTTTTACTTTGAATTTTTGTCAGGAGAAAATCTATACTATAAGCTCCAAGACCTCCTAATTTTGCGAAACTGGTGACGCTTAGTTCCAGCGTTCTACCGGGCCGATTTTCATGACTTTTGCGGCTATCGACGGGCAATTGTGTCTAGATAAGCCAACTCTTTTCAGATTTTCAAAATATGGCCCAGGTTTTTTTATATTGCGTGGTAAAGTTGCGAATTCTCCCATTTAAACAATGTAAATTTATACTTTTTGTCATAGTTCGTTTGAGCGTTCTACCGGGCCGATTTCCATGATTTTTGCGTAAATCGACAGGTAATAGGCCCTAGATGAGCCCGCTTTAATCAGATTTTGGAAAAAGGACCCAGGTTTTTTTTAAAATCACGTTATAAAAGTGAGTGAGTTTACAGAATGCTCGGGTGCTGCTACCGCTATGCGCGGGAGGATGCGCAGTGGTCAAGGAGGTTGCGCAGTAGCTGTGTAGCCTGCGCATCAGCTCTACACTTATCTCCACAAGATTCGCGCCAAAGTCCTCTAAGACGTCGAGTGCGTCCACAATGAACTCAATGTGGGACCGATCCCCGACTCATGAAATCTTAATTATTACCTGAATATCATTGTTCATTGTTTTACTGCAATATTTCATCAATCAGTCATTCCAACACGCGTCTTTTTAATTTTAAAGTAATTTTAAGTAAAGTTTAAAATTAAAGTATACCTCATATCGTAATTTTTTAGGGAAATAATAAAACTAACACTGATAGGAGGGTAAAAATAGGGCCGCGAAGCGGCCCATTGATGGCACGGAGCGCCTTCAGGGGGTTGGGCCGCGTAGCGGCCAGGGGGCTCAGCCCCCTAGGATACAACTATAGAGGAACTCAACTCAATTTTTTCAAAAATGTGGGTTGGTTCCTTTCTGATGAACTCGGTCCATTCAGCTCTCAGTTCAAAAAAGTAAACATGATAGGAAATTGGGAAGCGTGCAATAAAGTAACACTAATTCCGTTGAAATCCGTCTATTTAATAAAAATATATGGAAGGAGAAGGTAAAAAACCAACACACTCTTAGACTTTTGAGTTGCATGAGTACAGTTAAAGCAAGGTTACGCGAATTGACCTCTCTTCTGGTGTAAAGCAGAAATTTCAAGTCAAATTACCAGCTAAATGGATCAACTTTTTTGAGGATTCGCCATATGTGGATGGTTATGATTGAGCGTTAATGAATCGAAGTTGATCGCATATCGATGCGTAACATATCAGGGCTTTGCACGAGCGCGGGCGGAGTGCGCCGGTAAATCTTCCTAAGCTTTCAAATTGTTACGATAGAATTAGCATACTAATAGCATTACGCTAAGCGACGGGGAGGGAAGGCGAAGGGTGTATATTATTTTCCGCACTCAGCGATAGCATTTGAGCAAAGGAAAGGGCCCCCCTGCCAACTCTCCGGATATTCTCTCAAATTGTTTAATTCCCCTTTGATTAAAATGTTTAATTGATTCTTTCCATCGGAGTGTTTTTCCTGAAAATCGCCTTTTACCGGCTGAGTAACATGTCGTCACCTTCCGGCCAAAGTATCACAAGCGCCATGCGACGTTTCAAAGTTTCTGCCGCCAAATGGTGCTTTAAAATTATATGAATACAAATAAAATTATTTTTTTACAAACACATTTCTCAACGAAGCTATCCGAAAATTTCACTGAATTTTCTTCGCGCTGCCGATAAAATTCAGAGAAAATTTTGAACAGATTCAACCAACAATTTCTCTTTAAAAAAATAAAATGGCGGCGAAATTTGTAAACGTCGCATGGCGCTTGTGATACTTTGGCCGGAAGGTATATATCGACGGTGAAACTAATAGACCGCGTATCTTGGTTTGAACGTCGTAGATTACCTGCCATTCTTCATTTTTTAGATGGAAAATTACTCAACGTAATTTCTTGAAGTTTCCCTGATATTTCTTCTCTGTATGAAGAAAAATCTGTGAAGTTTTCGGCAGGATTGCCGATTTTTGAATTTCCTCCCCTTTTCCACCAAAGACCTAGTTTTTACCATGACTTTGCTTAAGTACATACATTTTAGGGGGTACTATGTATAATATTCCACTGAGATAAAATGGCACGGTTTTATACATCGACCGCACTATTCAACTCGTGCAATCGCACTCTCGGGACTTGAAACCGTATTCTTGGCTCATACAACCGAGTTTTCAAACTAATAAGGTCAACAATAGAAAAAAAGCTGTGTTGAATGGACTGAGGAGACTGAGGACAGGTTCCTAAAACCTGGAGTACGGTTAAATATGAACCGAACAGCACGGCACATATGAAACACCTTGCTTACGGTTCACATGATTGACAATTTTTGTCAATGCACATCTTGATAGAGAATGGCGCAATGAACGAAATTAAAATACATAGATCAACTATATTCTCTAGATTTAAATAATTATTCAGGAGTCTTTAGTAGGAGGCCCCTCCCCTTTTCGCTAATTGTTATTTGCCGGCAACGGTGTGAAAAGTGTCAAGTCCGGAACATGGAGAGGGATTGGGCGAGGAGGAGAGCACAATTACATAGTTGACTAAGCTAACACCAGGGGCGCTAATTAATTGCGAGCTCCTTGCTACCCCTGTCACCCCTAAGCGTTCGTTCAAAAGATTAAAAGATTATCTGGCCTTTGTTTCTGTTGTCTCTCTCCCAAAACTATTCCGCTTCAGGTTTGTTTTGATGAACTCCAAATGCAGGGCACTTATCAGCATTTTGCAAAAATGGAGATCGTTAACGATCCTCCAGTTTCCACAATCATTGCCCTTCCCCTCTACTCACCCTGAAAAGGAATTGGTAATTATTATGATTAATTTTTTCAGGAAACTGTTCCATGACCGGTGAAAACCAAAACAGATTGAATTTGCTTGCCAATGCGATCACAGTGATCATCCATATTCTTTAATAAGCAACTCTTGTATTTGCTTTTAACGAAGTTTGCAACAGCTCTGCGAACCTACCCCCACTCTCATCCCTTATTATCCTAATCAAGGTCTTATCCGACCATCAGCGTCATTTGTAGTCGAAAATTAAATTTAATTAAAAAAATATCGAAGAAAATGCTAGGTCACATGCTAGTTTTTGTTTTCGTCAAATCTCGGCCACCAACATGTAGCTTTCACGCTTTTTCTTCGATATGCTTTAACCCTGGGGGAAAAAAAAAAAAAAAAAAAAAAAAAAAAAAAAAACACATTGTATCTAGAGTCCAGACTCTTAAAAACATCGACAAAAAAAAATACTCTTGATTCAATCAGATTTAAGCTTAAATCAAGAACCAAGCCTCTTACTTTGAGCGGATTTCCTTTTAATTTAAGCAATCTGATTGAATCAAGAGTATTTTTTCTTGCCAATGTTTTCAAGAGTCTGGACTCTAGATCCAATGCGTTTTTTTCCAGTGAATTTTTAATTTATTTTCCGACTGAAAATGACTCAGTTTTGTGTCAAAACGTCTCGGGTTCTTAGTGTTGAATTTTTAGCATTGCTGCTTTGCTTCCTGTTTTACCCCGACTGGAAAAAAAAACCCATTGGATCTAGAGTCCAGACTCTTAAAAACATGGACAAGAAAAAGTACTCTTGATTCAATCAGAATCTAGCTTAAATCAAGAACTAAGCCTCTTAGTTTAAGCGGATTTCGTTTTGATTCAAGCAAAAATCCGATTGAATCAAGAGTATTTTTTCTTGTCAATGTTTTCAAGAGTCTGGACTCTAGATCTAATGTGTTTCTTTTCCCAGTGCCCACTTTTTTCATGTTACCATTGTCTTAGGCTGCTTCGTTAAAATTTGTATCAATCAATCTTTGACCGGATGAATATGTTTGTTTCAGGTGGGGACATCTCGCGGCCTTTCTCGGACTCGCTGGTGGACGACGAGGAGGAGTCCCTGGGCGACGGCGGTCTCTCGGACGGGAGCGAAGAGCGGGAGGGTGGAGGACACCCGGACACGCCCGGGAGCGGCGGCGGGAAGCCGAAGAAGAAGTCGCCCTCGCACAAGGGCGGGGGTGGCGCCTCTGGGCCGGGCGACTCCAAGGGCTCCAGCGGCGGGAAGCCCCGGCGCGCCCGCACCGCCTTCACCTACGAGCAGCTCGTCGCCCTCGAGAACAAGTTCAAGACCACCCGATACCTCTCCGTCTGCGAGAGGCTCAACCTCGCCCTCAGCCTGAGTCTCACAGAAACACAGGTGAGATTTAGAATGAGAGGGAAATCACGAAATTATGATTTATGCCTCGAGTACCCATCCAAAAAAAAAAAGAAAAAAAAGAAAAAAAAAACACATTGGATCTAGAGTCCAGACTCTTGAAAACATTGACAAGAAAAAATACTCTTGATTCAATCGGATTTTTGCTTGAATCAAAACGAAATCCGCTTAAATTAAGAGGCTTGGTTCTTGATTTAAGCTAGATTCCGATTGAATCAAGAGTACTTTTTCTTGTCGATGTTTTTAAGAGTCTGGACTCTAGATCCAATGTGTTTTTTTTCCATTGAAAAAACAAAATGTTCAAATAGTTCTAGAAAAAGAAAAAGAAACACTGAGAAACGCAGCCCAAACTGTATGTAACACGGTGGTGAAATAGTGCTAGGTCCACACTATTTATGGGGGAAAAGGACAAAAATTTCAATTAGAGTTTAAGATTTTGAGTTCTAATGAGTATGACAGTACAAGACTTGAGTGGGTGAGTGTTCAGCTCAGACAGACTCACACCATGGTACAGGGGTGTAGCCCTTGTGCAATGTCGCCCCTACATTGTTAGAACGCGGGACATTTTTTCTACTTCGATAATATTCCAAAAATTTAGGAAAACGATAAGAAGTTTTCATTGTATGAACATAGCATTAATAAATTGTTTACCCATATGGTTAGGTGCATTTTTTGTGAGATTTCCGACAGTGGGAGAATTCAGAAAATATGACACTGCTGTAGGGGACTAAGCTACGATGTAAGTGGAACAGTCCTGAGGTCGCCTCTTTTTTAAATGTTCAGCCTAAGAAACCAAACCATTATTTTTATGACTTAATTAAAACGGTGGGCTCGCTGTTTTGATTAAAGTCATAAAAAGAATAGTTTCGTCAGCAATTAGCCAATTGTTGAAATTAATAGACAATGCTATAGACGAGGAAGACATAGGTATAGTATAGAGCGATCCTATTGGTTGAAATGGGTGGTTCTTATAGACTAAGGAATAATGATGGACTACCTACCTACTTTGTCCATTGCAACCACCCGCTTACACCGATAGGATAACTCCACATCCCTTTTGCCTTCTTTGTCTATAGCTTTGTCTGTCAATTCCAAGAATCAGTTAGCAGTTCCGGTACCGTTTTACTGATGATCGTGTTGGTTGTGCAGGTGAAAATCTGGTTCCAGAACCGGCGGACCAAGTGGAAGAAGCAGAACCCGGGGATGGACGTGAACAGCCCGACGGTGGCGCCCTCTCAGTCGACGACGGGGCCTCCGTTCTTCCACCCGCTGGCCTACTCGGCGGCCCACCACTACCCCTCGTCGGCCTCCTTCGCCGCCGCCGCCTCCGCCAACCAGACCTACGGCGCGGTCGCCGCCGCCGCCTACTTCCACCACCTGGGCGCCCACCACTCCAGTCTCGGCCACGGACACTCCTCTTGAAACTGAAACAGGAAGGAGAACTTGGAGACTCCCATCAAGGTCCCTTATGGTCAATCATGGTCCCTTTTAATCAAGGGCTAGGTTGGCGCTCCTTAATGAAAAATGATACACTTGGACCGTGCCAAGCAGAAACAAACCAATCCTTAGCAGCTATTTGACGGTGCAAGTCCGCAATCAGTAGCGTGGCGTAAATTGCGATACATCGATTGATCGGCCATTTAAACCTATGGAAAAGGATCGATAAACAGGGTGTTCGTAGCGAACGCCTTAGTAATCGATTTTTTGCCATAGGTTTAAATGGTCGATCAATCGATGTATCGCAATTCACGCCACGCCACTGTCCGCAATCGCATATCGACGGTGCGAGTCGGCAATCACATAACTCGTTTGCGGTGTCTGAAAATCTCCGCAAATATGTTATTTTTTTAAAGGAGAACAAATGGACATGATTCCTTGAAGTATTTGCAGAATTTTTCTCGCACATAGAAGAGAAATCACAGCAGTTTTAAAGAATTGCCGTTGAGTAGTTTTCCGTTTAAAAAATAAAGTATGACAGGAAGTCTGCGACGTCGCAAACCGAGTTATGTGATTGCCGACTTTCACCGTCGATATCTCGTTTGCGGTTTCTGAAAATCTCCGCCTCCAGGTTATTTTTTTAAAGGAGATCAAATTGACATCATTCTTTGAAGTTTTTGCAGAATTTTCTCCGCACAGAGAAGAAAAACCATGGTAGTTTTAAAGAATTGCCGTTGAGTAGTTTTCCGTTTAAAAAATAAAGTATGACAGGATGTCCGTGACGACGCAAATCGAGTTATGTGATTGCCGACTTACACCGTCGTATGGCCAAGTTTAATTGGGCAATTTGATATTTTACATGAAAACGGTTGTGCGGATTTTTTTGCGAATTTTAGTGAAATAGCACGAAGCAAATTCCTTCCATTTTCAAATGAATCCGCACAAACGTTAGCTTTTAAAAAATTAAAGTGCCCGGTTAAATTTGGCAATATCTGATGTGGCTTGGTTCCTTTCTGCTAAACGCGGTCCATTTATACCTAGATGGTCATTTCTAGGTACGAGGCTAAACAGAAACCGAGGCGGATCCAGCAATTTGGCAACACCAGATCTCCTCCATTTAAACCTATGCTATATAATCGATTCTTGTCGGAGCACCTGGCCCCCTATTAATCGATACATTTCCATAGGTTTAAGTGTAGGAAATTCGGTGTTGCCAAATTGCTGGATCTGCCAATGAACAGAAAATATGCCTGGTAGTGGCTATGCCAGACGTCTAACCGCGGATGCTTATCAGAAAATCTAGTAGCCATTGCCCGGAGATTTACCAGATGCGTGGTTAGCACCACCAGAAAATCTAGTATCGGCTCCCGGAAGCGTAAGGCCAGCCTGTCAAGTTTTCTATTTCCCACCCTGTCAGGAGCGGGGTAATCAAGGGATCATTTGAGTTTTTAAATAAACTTATACCCTTCTAATCAAAAACTGATGACTATTGGAAAGTCAACACAATTCTTCACATATCGTTTATAACCGATGTTGTAAATATAATCATCATTTGCCTCTCTCGAAAGCAATCCGCAAAGTGAGTTCCCCTTCAAAAAAGGCCCGAATTTCGAAGGAAAAATGGTTATTGAGGTTCCAAAAATTATTCTGGTAATAATCAAAAATAATGTTGTGCATTATGAGTGCTCAAATTAAAGGAACTTAAAAAGAATACCAACAAAGGCTGTACTATAGATAAGAGAAACTTATGAGAGTCTATAATTTTGTTACGCGTTACGAATCTTTTGAGCACACTTCGTCAAAAAAGAAAACTTTCGTGGCACAGATTTTACGGTCAGTCACTAGACATAGACCGAGAAAATGACTATTTCGGGACATAATAGTTTGACTTTGAAAAATACAAACGCTCTATTACTAGGTAATAGTATTCTAGTGTAGCTTGATTTCTTCCGGACCATTGAATAAGAATTTGAGGTGATAAAATGCTTTATGGATTGATTTTGTATTTGGCTCGCTTTCATAATGATTGTATATATTTTATATAAATTATTGAATCAATGTAGATATGTCATTCACTTTATAATGCGCGTTTTAAACATCTCTCCCCGGAAAAACCGTCAAATCTTTTTCTGTCACTTTTTCAACCTTCTAGAATAAACGCTTAATCGTTGGAGCAAATTTTCTGAAACATTTTATTTTTTAAAGAAAAATTTTAGTTCCACACGTTGTGGGCCACTCTTTTTCCGAAAATCGCCTGAAGCGATTATTTGACATACTGCAGCTGGTGATCCAGCCTATTGATATGAACTGAGGGGCGAAAACGAATAATAGCTCAATTGGTGATTTTAGTCCATCAATGCTAAGGCAAAGATGCTTAGTTTCGTATACTTTGAGATGCCTCGGGCAAATTCTCTCGTTGAACGAGCTCAATTTGCAATTTATTCGCATTTAAAGTGCTCAACAATTTTCCTTAATTTTTGGACACTAACGAGAGTTTTCGAAGTGAGAGTCAGCGGAGCTTTTATCGGAGGAGGCTCACAGTTTCACTAAATTCTGATACCACTATAAGAGCTCTGAAAAGCCCGGTTTGCCTATCCTGTCAAAATGAAGGCGAAATGGATTTCACTTCATCGCACGAAGGTGCAGAATGATTAAGCCGATAAATCATTGATAGTATCTCACAGAGTAGAGACTTCTTTTAACTACACAGTTTTTCTCTCTCGCTCTCTCTCCCTCCCTCTTTTCTTTTTTCTCTCTTGTCTGTGAAATGATAATGAAATAATGTAAAATCTACGAATTTTCCGTGCTTGTGCAATAATATTTGTTTCACCGAAGAAATTCAATCATCACACACGATACTCCATTCATCCATTTCTTCTCATGCGCTCTAATTATTGATTCATTTCTCATAAATTCTATATTGATTATTCTGGAATGCTGAGATCTTCGTCTCCAAATTCTAGTCGATTAGACCATTGGATATTTCGTTATTTCTCTAAAAAAAAAAAAAAAAAAATTGCAATTTTACTCCAGACACCTGTTATTGATTTTTTATTTATGAAATGTTATTGATTTTATTTAAAACGAAACCTATGTTAATTGATACGCAAAAACTGTAAATGAAAGATTGTAAATTAAACTATGTAGTTAAGAAACTGTAAAAATGTAAAAAACCATCTAGATTAATTGCACTCGAAAATCAGTTAACACGAATTAAAACAAACGAATAGTTGTATTCATTATATATATTCCTTTGCTTACAGCCGCACAATGGATCGAGTCAATCAGAGAGGTTGGACATGAAATTTTTAACTAAAACTGTAGATTTTGATGTTTATTTCGTCACGTTTCAAATTTTAAAGGGTGCTTCTGAAGGAAAATTTCACGGAAAAACGAATGGAGCCACTTATAGAACCTCGAAGTTTTGTAAATACGGAGTTTTAAGCTTTTAAAGTTTCCAAATTTTGTCCGACCTCTCCTATTGACTAGATCCGTGTGCGCCGGGCTAGAGAGCTCCAATCATAGACTTTGTCAATAGATCGTTTTCGATACATCAAATAGGTGAGATTGTATCGATATCGATTGGTTCAACATGTAAACATAGCCTCAAAAGTCAATCGAGTAATCTGAGGAAACGGGGTTTTTCTGATAGATTTTTGATTCTTATGAGTACTAAATGGTATCGCAAGGTGAAATAGTTAGGAATTTTCTCATTTTCAGCTTTTCCGACTGAAATCCTGAAAGTTTTGTTTGAGGTTATGTTCTATTGTTTGGGACCAAACGATACATCGAACCACTATCGAAAACGATCTATAGAGTAATGCATCATCTCGTGGCATTTCATCTGATTTCTGAAAAGTTGGACTATACGCATCGAAGCGAAATGCTCGTATATGATCACAAAAAGGCGATACAAGTGCGATAATCAGATATGTTACTAATGTGAAAATTTGGGGTATGGATTTTTTACCGACATGTCCCTTGGGTGCTCAGGGTATCGAATTATAAGTCAAAATCGCCGTAAGCATTATAGCCCAAAGTCAAAGCACTGTGATGGAAATATTACTTCAATTTTTTGAAGCTATTTGGACTGAGTGATGAAACAATATCTACATCGCCTAAGGAATCAGCGTTAAGCTCGTCCTCGTTTTAATTTTCTGCGGCGTTGTCACATTAGCGTCTTATTCGTTAAACAATAATGGGAACTTTATGCTTGCAAGTATTTCTTCACACTCTGGTAACAGTGTTTTACAATGGTGGAGCGAGGATAACATGAGGTATAAAATCACTCCTATCGATGGAAACGTAATACGTGATCAAAACATACTACACACAATCTTCGGGCTTAGTTATGAACGAATAATGGCCCGGCTCCTTTTCCTACCCGGAAATAACTTCCTTTAATTCCAGAAAGCCATCGGCAGTTTCCGATCAGGTATCAGAGCTAATTTGGTTTCCCGAGTTTTAAGATCCCTCAAAGATCGTGGAAAATACTTACGACGTGGGTTTGATTATATGGAGGAATAATATATTGCCGAGAAAACTGATCCTGTGGGTTGTCTTGTTTTTTATTTTGTTTTTTATTTGTTTATTCAGGAACTAATTAAATAAAATCATTCGTGGTGGTAACTAGATTGATTGGCATGATGACCATGTTTCCATTTTTTTTTTATACAAACATATTGAGTTAACTGAATATTTTCGAGAGCGAGCGTCGACTGATCTATGAACATATCGCTGGAAGACCATCGTCAATTTCAGAAAAATTGCGCACTGGACTTACTTTACAATACCGAACAGGTTTCCTTAATGTGCTGATTTTTTTTCTTAAAATCTTCGCGAGCAAGAAGTATCGAGAAAGTGTGGAATATTTGGAAAAAATTGTCTTGAGAGTTTAATCACACACAACCTCACTCACACAATGAAAAGGAACTCACGTTTAAATCTTGGCAGAAGTAGATATTTGTGCGTAAGGAAAACAATATATTTTTTTTTACCTGCCAGAACCAACAACTCATAGCCATGTACAAAAAGTAGATACTATTATCCGGTTAAAAATGGTATTTGGGAAAATTCTGTAATAGGTTTGCATTAAGTGCAAAACAAAACCTTACCCTTCC